ATATTTGTATAGTATAGAAGAGAGTGTAAAGTATAAAATAGATTCGTGAACTGACCTCAAGCACACGCACATCTGCATGCAGTGTTGTGGCCCAGCGTAGAGCTTCATTTAATTGCATGAAGGTACTGAGGTTTCTTGAATAGTGGAGCCGTCGTCCGGTAGTGAGAGCAGCGAGATTCAAATTGTTGAAGGTTCCTTCACAATGAAGCTTTTGTGGGAAACCAGCTATGGTTAAGGTTTCTAGAATAGGTGCGGAGATCTCAAGCGAATGCTCATAGTCATAAACACGATGTCCGCAGATGTAACCAAATGGACATATGGTGTAACTAAAGCCTCGCAGGTTGTCTGTGATGACCCTCACAGTCCTGTAAGGGCAGCAATAGCGAATGTCTAAATCCTCCAAACACGAGCTTCGTATTGTGATGCCCTGTCGGTTTGTCTCCCTGAAATCGCTCTCCAGGAAGATTCGATCGAGGAGCAAATGTTTCAAGAATGGGAAACTCTCAGAAACCCACTCGCCCATTGGATCATTAGTTATCAATAAAACTAGTTTATGCATCATACGAGAGAGAAATTTTTAGTTTACAATAAAACTATGTAAAACTAAATATTTTGAAGTAAAATTATATCTGAAAGAAACATATTTTCATGTTCATATATCTTAATATCAAATAATCAATTGAAAAAAAATCAAATAATACATATTTAAAAGTATATTTTTCACGTTTGCATATGTTTGAAAAAAATTGAAACAAACAAGTGGGCATTATTTACATTGCTGAATTAACAATTTTTTAAAGGAGACTAACAGTATTATTTTGGCCAAAAAATGACACTAATAATAGTGTTAAATTTAAAGGATTAGAAATATATTTTTAGATATAACAATTAAATAATTAATTTATGAAGATTTAAAAATTAACTAAATTAGTTATTTGTAAAATATATATGTTGGGTTCCTTAAGATATATTAATCATTTGCAATAAAAATTGCTCATATATGAAGATTATTATTTGATACATGCGGTTAGTAAGAATGATTTAAAAAGGTTATAAATTTGGAAGATACAATAGATTATGATTTATTTATGATCAAGGCAAAACTCTTAATTAGCTCCTATATTTGGTACATGAGCGAGTAACTTCCAAAAGCTCTCACATAAGTAGGAAGATTCCGATTTAATCCTGCTTATAACTTAGGTGATTAGTTAATGTATGTCCTTCTAATTAAAAATAAATAATACTAATACTATAGAATATCCAAGTCGTTAGGAGTGTAGACAAAATTAGTAACTTGTAATTACATGTTGGGAGTTCCAAATCAATTGAAGATGATTCATAAGAAATTAAAGGGAAAAAGTTCAGAAGTTGGATAGAAAAGTACAAGTCTAGGGGCCTTGTGTTATTTAGGCTGAGTAGTCGAAATATTGTGAAGAGCACAAAACTGAATTGCATGTTCTCTTTAGTTTTGGAAGTTGAAACTTGGATACCCTCAAACACATACAAGTTCATTGTAGCTGTGAGTTAGTTTTAAAATGTAAATAAACCATGATAATGATAATTATAGATTGCATGAATGATTAAGATTAATTAGACTTTGATTACAATAATAATTATGGCCAAGATGTATCAAATTCCTCTTTTCAAACTAGTTTCTATTCGAATCTCTTTCTCCATCCACGCTACTTCCAATTTTTAAATTCTAAGCAAGAAATCATGCCATGTGATTTTCATCTAGCTTTCTCGTCCTTTTTTCTTTTTTTTAATTTTAAAGACAACTCCGTAAGGACTTTGAAATTTTTAATCAAAAAAGTAGTCCTGAAAATTTATTTTTGGACGATAGCCTGAAAATTTATTTTTGGACGACTTTAGTGATAAAGAGTGTGGAATTGTGAGTACGAAATAAAATTCCTTTTGCATTTGTACATTTGACACAGCAAACTAAAATTGTTAAACCTAAGGTAATTATTATCCTAAAATTGTTAACTTGTCTCGGAATGTTATTTTACTATAAAAAAATGGCATGTTAAGCCTTCTATACTTAAGTTTCAATACTTATGTATTTTTTATATTATGTTTTTATGACAAATTCTTGTTATTGATATCATTAATACTAAAGCCCACTTATTTTTATTTATTTGTACAAAATTATCATATTAACCCTCCATTTGGATATGAAAAAAAAGTAGGGAGGAAAAAATGATAAGAGAGAAAATGAAAAGAAGAGAAAACTAAAAAAGATGTTATTACCTCTATTGTTTAGGTAGAAGAGAGAAAACAAGGAGAAAAAATAAGTAAATATTTGAATGATTAAAATATTTTTACTTCTATGTCAAAATATATCAAGTTTGAAACTAAATTAAATATCATAATAAAAAATTATATTAATATTAATGTTATCAAATAATTTAAAATTAAACTATATAGTATCTAGTATAATCATTTTATTATATTTGAAAATCAAATAATTTAATAAAAATGTTATTTTTAAAGGACAAAAGTGATTAACTTTTTAACATTAGATAAAATAAAAGCGAAAAATTATACTTAATTAAAAAACGAGGTTCTTGACATGTTGTAATGCGGGGGGGAAATTCAGAACAGCTCTAATGGCAGAATGATACTAGTAATGATTTATAGATGGGAGGTTCAACTTTGTCATTTGAAGTCTCACAAAAAAGAAAAAAAAAATCCTATAACGAGAAACGGGGGAAGACGCAAGGACAATGATGGAATATGTGTTTTTTCCTATTTTTTTTTCTTGGAAAGAATGTTTGGAAGAAAAATTGAGCGGATTTTAGGCCCATTTTTTCTCTCACTTTTTTTTCTTTCCAGTTTTTTCTCCGCATCTAAATAGGGAATACTGATTTTCTCTGTTTTTGCTAGTTTTTTTTTTCTCCTCTGTTTTTTCTATTAGTTTTTTTTCCTCCCAACTTTTCTCTCTATCTTAACAGAGGTTAAGTATATAAGCTTAAGGGAAAATGATAGAAAAGAAACGAAAAATATTTGGGTTAAATTAGGATATATCCATGCGTAATTAGAGAACTTGATCTAATAGATATAAAACACTTGATATAAGACTTAAAAAGAATATGAAAATTACTAAATCTCAGATTATGTTTGTTTCTTTATACCTTAATAAGTTTTGACCACGTTTGATGTGAAAATAACAACAAATTTTTATAAAAAATTATTACCATTATGCAATTTATTACCAAATCTTTCTCTTTATTCTTGGAAAAATAACAAAAAAGACCTTTAAAATAAAAAATTGCATATAAATATCTATTCACAAGAATTGTTATTATTTGCTTATTATCTATTGTCAAAACCAATACTAATGATGTAATGAGTTTTTATTTGTAATTTTTTCATTTCAAAGGTCTCTTTTTGTGATTTTCACTTTTTTTTTTCACTCCTGTTTGAAGTGCCACATGTCCATATCAGGGCAAAGGGTTATCGTGCGGGAAACATTGGCTATGTTTTTTAAGAATGTGTTTGACTCTTGGAGCAAGGAAAGCTTGAATATCCTGTTGAAAATCTATATTTTGATAAAAACAAAACTGAAGTATTATTTCCGATCCTTAATATAAAATCTTGTTTGACTTTTATTTTGGTCATAATTATAAAATTCCAATTCATTTTGTCTTTCATATTTATATTTTTTTTTCCAAAGTCATCCTTCTAATAATAATAGTTTTAGTCAATATACTTTACTAGCAATAATATTTTAGGAAAGACAACACATATTTATTATAAATAACTAACTTAACTTCTTTCTTTAATTTTCTCAAATTAGTCAACTAGCTCTTATAATTAGGACCGGAGGTAGGATTAGAATTAAACATTAAGCTTCAGTCAATTATTAAATAATAAAAATTTTAAAGTTCTTTTAAAACGATTTTGTGATCATCCTCTTTTAACCATCTCCAATCTCATTTCAGGCTTCATGCTACGTTTTCCCTAGTTTTTCATTAATTTTTGGATACAAAAATTAAATTTTTTTTATAAATCACACCATTCATTTCTTGTTAGTTCCAATCTTTAATGGTCCACAAAAGTTGGGCGGCATCAAGGCGCTCACAGGTTTGAGTAAATTTAATATGTGAGAAATAAAAGAGAGGAGAACATTTTTTTAAATAAGTTTGATTTAAAAAGTTAAAGAAAAAATTATAAAATCTTAATACAGAAAACATGTAAAATAGTAAGAAATATTAGTTAAAGGTTTTTAACTGTAAATTTTTCAATTTTTTAATTTCAAACCATTGAAAATTTTCATCTTTTTCCCTCCATTTCTCTCATATCAAATAAAGGTAAAAATATTTTTTCCCCCCGACTAGAGGGTGGGAATAATCTGAGAGTACAAGTGAATTGAACTAGGGACTTTTTATGTACATTTATAGAGAATTTTTTCAAGTCACTGTGACTTTTGTTTTTTTTGTTTTTAATAAATAAAATGATCAAATATATAAATATCAAAAGTTAGGCATTGCAAGTTACAAAAACCAGGTTCGATGAACCCCTCGTCCATGGGTTCAGCTGGCGAAGGAGTTGGACACTCTCACCAAAAGGAGGGGGTTCGATCTTGGAGAGTGCCACTTTGTTGTGGCTCCAGTCGCGGCGCTGGAGGAGGCATCTTCGAAGCCAAGGCCTCAGCTCGTAACATGTGGTCGCTCCCCGTCCCAGTAAAGCTACGGCGCTGGGTAGAGCTGGGGTCAAGGGTTAGTTGCCCTGCTCTTGGATCGTGGGTGAGTCCAATCCCTTTTCTAAAATTTCTTCACCAAAAAAAAAAAACCAGGTTCGATGAGCAAAAGTTGGCTACGAGAGTTAGACGCATTGAACTGAACCAGGGGAAAAAGGCCTGAGAGAGAGCTTGTGCTTTGCAGAAAGATTGAGCTCGGCAAAATGGGTTACATGGCACATGCCCACTTTATTGGAACTCTAGGCCAGATAGAAGGAAATAAAAAAACGTAATTTACGGGTTGGCCCTTTCAGATTTCGTGTCGCTGCTCGCCGTCCTCCACCTACTAATTTATTCCCCGAGTCAAATCCTGATCCGTTTTGAGCGAATGCCAGATAAGATCCAATGGAGAACGCTGGAATCTTCTGATAGCTCCGAATGTGACAACCACATGTCCTTTCGGTCGTATCGCTTCGCAATTCAAAAACCTCCACGTGCCATTTCTCGCTGTCTCCCTCCATTTCAAGGCTCCGATCTTTCTGCTGAGTGATCTAGCGGAGGAACGCCATGGGTAAGACGAAGAGCTTCTTAGCCATGAGAACCGATTCCCAAGATGAAGCCCTCCAATTGATCAACTCTGATTTCCAGGATCTGAATCGCGCCGCTAGAAACCTCGCCCACCATGCCATCAAACTCGGTGGCCTCGGCTTCGGCACCTCTTTCCTTCAGTGGGTTGCTTCCATCTCCGCCATGTACTAACCTTCACACTCTTTTTACCCCTCCTCTACTACTTTCTGTTCTTATACAGCATGCTCAATTTTCTTCGCATCACCTTGCAATTAGTTCAGAGTGGGATTTTCTTTGCTTCAGCCGAAATCTGTTGAATCATGTGAGGCCTCTATACTTTTGATTTTACAATCACGGATTTTGCCGTCATCACTAGCATTGCGCCCGTTTACCTGTAAGATGCATGAAGAGGTTTTCCTGTTGAATCGATCTGACAGTTGATCAGTTCAATATTTTGCTGCTTGCCGAGTCTGAAATGTTTTTGGTATTGGGTTTTGTATTGGATGTTTTCAACAATTCAGATTGACAGGGGCAGGGTCTCTTGGATTAGAGTTATCTTTATTTCTCTGTATTGATGTTATTAGGAACTAGACTTGTGTTCCATTCTTGAATTGACTATTGTGACCAACTAAGTCATTGTCTTAAATACTGCTATTTCAACTCTCATGGAAGAGAAGTCCGTGCTGCTAACATGGTAAATGGTAGATAAATTAAAGCAAAAGACCAAATGATTATGATTTAGAAACCATTTTACTTCAGTGTGAATATTCATTTACTTGCTGCACGTGTTTTTCTTTCCTGTACTCCCGATTTGATGTAATGGTTGTCGCATCTTGGCTTGTTTCTATGACTGTTTCCTTAATTATACACTTCTCTTTGGCTTATAAATTCTGTTTTCAATCTGTCTGCTGTAGTTACTTATTGGTTTTGGATCGTACGAACTGGAAGACAAACATTCTTACATCGTTGTTGATTCCATACATTTTCTTGAGCCTTCCTTCGATAGTTTTTGGTCTCTTCAGGTGATTAACCCGTCACTCTTCCATGGTGCCAACTTTGTTCAATGCCAAAACTCTGCTTCTTATCCCTTATCAAGCTACTTATTTGCATGTTTATGCAGGGGAGAGTTTGGGAAATGGGTAGCCTTTATTGCGGTTGTGTTACGGCTTTTCTTTCCAAGGCATTTCCCTGGTATAGTATAATTTCATTTGACTTTAAATCATAATCATTGTTCTTGTCTATATTGGGTCTGATCTACAGTTCCCATACTTTTTCTTCACTTTTGTGCTGCTATGACTTTTTGTTATCTATATTTTATTCTATAGGAAACGTACTTTTTAACTGATCCATATCATATGCAATTGTATCTTTGTCTGTGCTTGAAAAACTCTTCATTAGGCCTGACTAAGTGAATTGTAAATAGATATGTAGTCATTTCGAGGAACGCTTTTGAGCGAGAGCCACCTTTAAGATAGTTACATCAGAAAATTATAACCAATTCAATTTCTGCATCTTTCTTATAGATGTGTATACTTCATTCTATTCATGTTTTTTTCAAAAATTATACTACCGTGGGCTTGTTTGGAACGAGGTCATTCCTTTCTTTGCAATGTCATTTGTGTCTTTTTAAGTTATAGTAAGTTAAGATACGAGAATAATTCTCGATCTTCAAAATCACTTTTTCCATTGTATTTTGCGTTCCATTTCATTTACCAAAGAGAGAGCTTGAAAGCAATCGTTACTGCTACTGCAGATTGGTTGGAATTGCCTGCTGCTTTGATTCTGCTTATAGTTGTGGCGCCAAGTCTATTCGCTAGCACCTTGAGAAGCAGCTGGGTTGGCGTGGCAATATGCCTTGTCATTGCATGTTATTTACTGCAAGAACACATTCGGGCTTCTGGTGGTTTCAGGAATTCCTTCACAAAAGCTCACGGCATATCAAACACAATCGGCATAGTCCTTCTATTAGTCTATCCTGTTTGGGCATTGGTAATCGACATTATATAAATGCAGGCTTTTAACTGTTGTTGGGATTTGGTTGGGTTCTGTGAATTGAAATGGCCACTGTTCCTGTGTGTATCATTCATTTGGTGGAAAAGACTTTGATTGTGTGAAAATGTAAAATCCTCAGTGAGTGGATCATTCATTTGTAATAAGCTGAGACTTTTATATCCCAAAGAGTCTGCATGTGTAAAAATGTGAAATCAGATGTTATTTGATTACTTTTAGCTTCATTGAATGTGAACATCTAGTGTGTTGATAGAAATAGACCATACTCCCTTTCTTTTCTTTTTTTTTAATAAGGTCATTTTAATCACTTTGCACATTTTAAGAAATTCGGTTAAATTGGGGTGGCTGTATTGGATTTGTACATAATTTGAATCAGTTTTCGCAATTGCCCTCTATCTTCTCTTGATTTTTTATTCATCATTGTTGGTGATTCTCACAAATATGTAGGTCTTATGACAAGGTTCAGGAGATGTGTCAAAAAGCAGTAATAGTTTGGTGCGCCGTGATCGTAATGGAAAAAGACGTGGCATGATATTGGCATTTGACTGTTTGGATTTGTTAATATAAGGCGATATTGTTCTGAGTTTATGACGTTCAAAGTAATATTGCTTGAAAAAACAATTTTTCTTGGTAGTTAGTGACCTGTAATCTCTATGGTTATGGTGGACCCTGTCTGGTCCTTTTTATTTTCGGACTTAAACGAATGACATTTTGCATTAAACAAAGGTTATTGTCTGCAGCATCTTTTAAGAAAAAATCGTTAATTTTCTTTTATAAATTAACAAACCAGAGTCAATTACTATATTTCAGGAGTTTATTGTCAATAAATCATATCGAACTGATTTGTAATGGAAAAAGAACAAATCCGTTGTGCCCCAGCTGGGGTTGGCTTTGATCTGGATGGTTTCAAAATTATTACTCCTCCGGTCCTTAATATAAAACCTATTTAACAAATTTGATTAGATTAAGAAAGTTAGGTAAGTTAATTAATTATAAGAAATGTGACACATTTTTTTCTAAACACCATAATCATTTTTCTTAATACTCTCTCTCTTCTACTTGATTATGGTTGAGAGAGTATACATAGGAGTAATTTAGAGAAAAATTGATAAACATGAGAAATGAGTCTTATATTTAGGACCAAAACTAACCCAAGAATTGGATCTTATATTAAGGACCAGAAGAGTATTGTTCAAATTTTCAAGGAACTGCACAAGTCTATATATTGATCTCAGACATCAACGTAATTTGCGCTATAGAGGCTTTCTGATATTCATAAATAAATTTTATTATAGAATATTGACAAGAATGATCATACATAGTTGCTGTGATAATAGAAGAAAACTGTATGTTTTCAGATTTTCAGTTGATATAATTAATAAGAACCAAAATGGACAAGCACCCAAATGGATTCTGAATAATAGACTACCACAAATCATTATATTTTAACATAGCACTCCAGCTTCCTTCCTGCTTCATACCTTCTTTTCCTTTACTTCATTGTATAGTTTATCGATATGGTTCTGCAAATAAAGTAAACAGGTTAGCATTTAAATAACAATTTCTGCTTCATGCCTCATACCTCAAGCCTTAGATTAGAAGCATGGGAACTCATTTGATACACAACGATCTCTCTTCCCAGGAGGATTTTTTTTTTTTTGAAAACGAGATGTAATATAAAGCTAGCAGAAAATCACAGTTGTTAAAGAGAATTGATCAAAGGGTATGCGAACCTTAAAGTACTTGAGCAGTTGTGGTCTCTTCAATTTAAATGTTGGAGTTACCAGATCTCTCTCCATGTCAAAGGGGATGGGTTCCAGATGAATTGCCTTTAGCATCTCAAAACCTCGAAGCTACAGCAGAAGTTCTCTTTCATGTCAGATGAAGCTTCCAGGTAATACAACTTAGCAACAAGTTTTAACAAACAATTTGTTCCCTTAATTCCAAAGACTTGTTTCATTTCGGACGAAATTTATAAATGCCACAAGTTTCTGATTCATCTTAAAATTAATTGCTTATTGGTCCAATGATATTCTCAAATTACTTGACAAAAAGACTTATGTATGCACAAGTTTGTTCCTTTCAAAAATGAACTGCAGTCCTCACTAATTTTCAATTACTTGCTAAATAAGCCAAATAATTTATGAGCTAAATTGTTAGCGTAGTTCAGTAACTAGTAATAGATCACATACTAATTTGTACGAGAACTTAAGCTTAAAACTAAAAAACATTATAAAGCAATATGAAGGCAAAATTACAGTGATTCATGTTTATCAAAAGTACGATTTTTTATATAATGCCCACCCACACACACACATACAGCGCATGATTGGGAGTTGGATATGCATACTTGGTGTTTCTGACCAGTTGAATTGAGCTCGTCCAAAATGAACTTTCTTGCCTTTTGATTTTCACATAAAGATTTAAAATCACCAGTCTCATTATGCTTCTCTGCCCAATCCTCAAGTGCCTTTTTTTCTGGGACCACCACAGCCACCAGGAATGACTCGAAACTGTTTCCATATACCCAAATCTGTATGAAGTGATCAAAGCATTTTGAATTACATCAATTACGTAAATTCAGTGACTGGGGTATGCTGCAGGAATGGAATCTAACTGGTGTTTCTGCAAATTCACAGGCTGCCTTTGTGATTAATGAGGAAACATACCGATGTTATTAGAGGGCACTGTGAATACTTGTTTTCGATGCTCTCAACAGCGATATATTCCCCCTGAGACAACTTAAAAATATTCTTTTTTCTATCAATAATTTTCAGGGCTCCATCTGCCTGCCATTCTCCAATGTCACCTGCGAGGGATTTACAATCAATACCATTTTGATTTCACTAAAAGACTAAGAAATTTGTAAAGAAAGACAAGAATGGAGAAATTTGGAAGTTCATGACAGAATTTCAGACTTGACTCTTGATTAAGATTCAAAAAAAAGATCGCAGCTTAAAATTTGGAACTTGGAACTAAATCCTTTTACTTTTTTAAGTCACAATTTCCAGGGAGTCTCACCTGTATGAAACCACCCATCAACCATCACTTCTTTAGTAAGATCTTCACGCTTGTGGTAACCAGAAAACAAGGTGCTGCCTCTGAGGCAAATTTCTCCACGGGGCTGACTGGAAACTGCATCATATCCCATCTCTGGAACAGATTCAAGCCTGGCTTCAATGGTTGTCATGGGCACCCCAACTGTTCCCATCATAGAAAACACATCACCAATTGCGGTGAAACACCCACCACAACTTTCAGTGAGACCTGTCATGCCAAAATGATAATAAATTAGAGCAACATAATTATACAGACGCATAACATGCACATTGTAGATGAATTAAACATGTTTCTACTACAATAGACTCAGAAAACCCCAAAAAGCCAATGAATGGAATCATTTCTCACAAGAAATGATGTTAAGCAGAAGATTTGTGTACAATACCATAGCCTTGTGATAATGTAGATCCAATAGTGACCCTCAGAAACTCCTCCACATGCGTAGGCAAGGGGGCAGCTCCAGATAACAAGATGCGAACTCGTCCGCCCAATGCTTGTTTTATCTATCAATAAAACTGATGTTAAGAATTTAAACTAGATATATAGAATTTGCAAGGATAAAGATGGAAGACCTTATCAAACACAAGCTTATCGAGCCGAGGTGCTGCTTGGTCTTGTGGAAGTCCCTTCTCCAGATATTTCAACTTGCTGTCAGTTGATCCCAGATTAGTTCACACGAGGATAGAATAGAGAACGAAAACAATCAAAGTGAAAGGGCAGGACATACTAGTTATATGCATGCTGAAACAACAAATTCTTCAGTGTCCCCCCAGAAGAAATTTGGCTCACAATACCTTCAAGCGCAAAGGATAAAGCCAATGCTTGTTTACGTGAGGAGCTCAAAGACAATGCTTAGATAAATATTTTAGACAAGGTGGTTTACCCAACTATGGAAAAGAACAGAGTATCCATTTCTTACCCGCGTAAATACGGTCATAAACTCTAGGAACACCACAAAATATAGTTGGCTTAAGTGTCTGAATGTCTTCCATTAAGAACCTAACATCCTGTAAGCATGAAGATGAAAACTTCCATATTAAGCATAAAACAGAGCATAAAGCCTCATTGAGATGGAAAACTGAAAGAATGATCAAGTAATTAATTGCAAAAATTAAATTAAGATCTTACGCCTTGCCAAAACCCTATTGAGGAGCCCTTGTAGATGCAGTAGCTCTCTATTATCTGGTCGTATACATGTGCTAGAGGAAGAAAAGAGAAGTATACATCGTCGACTGCTGCCTACAATTGCACATATTTTTCGCCAAGTCAGCATTACATAAAGATGACAAATTGAAGCTCACACTTATCTTCTTTACTCATCAGCCTCTATAAATATTTCATTCAGAAGAGAAATGAACTCGAAGATCATAATCATCTATTGTAACTCCCAGAAACTTACCTATACTAAAACATATAAACAGAACAAATAGGACAGGTATGACATAAAACTCATGAACAACAGAGGAAAATGCTCATCTTACCACTCTGTCCGTTAATAAAAGTATTTGGTCAATAGACAGCACTTCAGACATAAAAGCCTCGTTCTTGATAATGACACCTTTGGGTTCACCAGTCGTTCCACTTGTGTACATTATTGTGCAGATATCTGTCTTCCTTTTTGAAGGTAGATCACCTTCCAAACTTCCCTGAGTAAAATGCAAGATTGAAATACAACTAATGAGGGAAGTAGATTTAACATAAACAGGAAAATGCCATATAGGTTTAACATCATACCAACTGGAGGAACTCTTTCCAGGAGAAGCAGGCTGCACCATGTTTCTCAGCTTCCTTCTTTTGTTCAGTTGAAACATTTCCAAAACTCACAATGGCTACACCATGAATTTACAGACCTTGGTTAGCGTAGAGCAATTAAAAAGCCTAAAGTATTTATTTTAGATAAAAGATAGGAATGGTTAACGGCTAACCTACATTTTAGATTTGAAGAACACTGTTCAAGACATGACAAAATCTGTAAAAATACTCATTGCTTTAGTAACCACAAAAAAGAAAGAAAATAAATAAAACAAAAGAAAAAAAAGATCCCATGCTGTATCAGAGAGTAAACGAATTATAGCTTGAAAGAATTAATGGTCAATGATTCCATTGAAAGAGGATCAGAAATGGTTGTGACAATTTGTCAGCTTCAAAATTGATACCTCACTATCCATTTGGAAAGTGACTTGCAGAAATCTCATCAATAAATTAAAGGCTGCTAATG